CTTGCACACCAAGCAAATCTAGAAGCTCCCTTCAATTCCCACATGCTAAAACTCTCGGCGTCCCAATTCCTTCGGTCCGTCCCACGCGCGCGCCTTCGGCGCTATTCCTTGTCGCGCGCGGTATCCCGCGCGCGTGCTTCGCATGCCGTCCATCCGTGCTCGCCTAATCCTTCGCGGCCTAGGAGACTTGCGCCTGCTTCCCACGCGTTGCCCTCCGCGCGCTCCTGGTCATCGCCGCCATTCCCGTGCGCGTGCGTACCGTCGCCCGCTATGCCTATACCCTCATGGATTAGGCCGTCCGCATCGCTGCCCCAATCGCGCGCCCTTGCGCGCGCCCCATCCCTGCCGTCTTCCTCGCGCGCGTCCGCATCAACATCCAAGCTCCAATCACCTACTTCGCTCCTAGCGTGCGTCGCGTCCTCGCCGCTCGACGCCCGCGCGTTAGTGCCGGTGAGCACCGCACCACTGCCGGTTCTCTTGTACTCGTGCGCTGCCTTGGCGCAACCCGTGCTCCTCGTCTCTTCGCCACCTCCGATCGCACTTGACTCCTCCCGTACTCGATCGTTCGGCCATCCGCGCGCATCAAGGCACGATGCGCGCCATACACCCGATAACCGATCTTCCTCAATCCTTCTGCCGTCCAGCTCCGTTGGCTCGCCCGATGGCCATGGGTCCCATCCATCCATCCCAATGCAATCACCAACTCTCCAAATCCACCCATCCTCCGTTCTACTCTTACCTCCCTTTCGGGCCACCATCTTGCGAACTCGCCTTTTTCTCGCACAAGGCTTGCACCAACACTTCTCCTCTTTTGCTTTTGCCTTGTGTTTCCTTCGAGCTCGTTTGGTCTTGCTCCACCTAGGCTTCAACTTTGCTTGTGGACCACATCCCTTTGGCCAGTCTCTTACACATGATGGTCGATTATTCGGGCTTGATGGCTCTTCCAACATGTTCTCTAACCATGAAACGAGACCATCGTCACCTTCATCGTCTGATTCACCGGGGTTGATGACCACTTCCGTATCAATGCGGCAATTCGCATACCGCCTCGCATAACTGAAAGATGAAAGAAATACGAAAAAAAAAAAAACTTATTATGCACCAATTATGCGAATAATATGCGACGTTGGTATGTCGCAGAATAATTTTTTCGACTAATAGTCGCTGTTCATTCGCCTAACAATAATAATTATTTAATGGGTGACGGACCGCGATTGACCGAGTCGTACATCGAATCTCCGCATATTCGTTGCATACTTTAACTCATAATTTTCTCGCTCATGCTCATACCGGTCGTCTATCGATCGTATAGTTTTTCGCATATCTCTTCGTACTTTCTGGGGTGAAAAACTTAACTTTTTATTGGGTGGTGTGAAAAACTTAGCAGGACTTCAAAATGGGGTGAAAATAGCTATTTCCTCTATTAATAAAGTTGGTATTATTTTCTTATTAAAGAAGTACGATTCTAAAATAAACTGGTACAATTTTTCTGGACTTAAATAAATATAAAGGGTATTGTGGGAATGTTAGAGGATTATTATTTTATTGCAAGTAGGAGGGAGTAAAGTGGAAGAAAATTAGAGGTATGGACTGAACTGGAAGTTGAAAAGAGGTCTAGGTACTTTTATAGAATTAGCCTGTTTATTTCATGATAAGAGATTTCCTTCATAATTAGACTCGAATACTCTAAGAGTAGAGAGTAAAAATACACCCATTATTCATAAGGGATTTATTGGTTTACTAGTACAACGCCCGTGTATTACACGGGTGCATGCTAATTTTTTCTTAAAATCTAAAATTAATGAGAAAAAGTAATTCAAAATTTAAATACCTTTTATAAAAATATATATTATTATATATTTAGTATGACACTTTTTTATTTGTGCGACTTACTTGTGTTATATTATAATAATTTTTTAACTTATAACATATAACTACATTAAACATAAATATATCAATTGAGAATAATTTTATTTTTCTAATGAATTTTAATGAATATTATTATTTTTTATTATTATAAAGATAAATATAATTTATTTATTTTATATATACAATATGGATGTCAAATCGAAGATCATCAAAAGATGATTAATTTGATATATTATATATGTAAAACCAATAAGAAATACAAAAGTTATCAACTTTTAAAATACATTTACAATTAAATAACTACATGAAGGAAACAAATCAAAAGTAAGAGATATATTAGTCACTTAATGTCTCACTATGTAAAATTACAAAGAATTAAAGAGTTATATTAGTACAAGTTATATTAAAATATTTAAGTTAGCTATTTAATATTTATGGAATGTCCGAACCTAGATTATTAATTATTAATATATCAATATTATTTGTCCAAACCTAATTACGAAGCATAGTTTTTTGCCAAGTAGAATTCCGAAACACCAGAAGCAACCATGTAGGCTCTGCGCATTCGAGAATAATATATAGGGAAGATTTCATGATAAGAAATTTCCTTCACCATTAGACTCGAATACTCAGTGGAGAATACAAATACATCCGATCGTTTCTTTAGGAATATTTCATAAATTTCTATGGATATTCAAATTAAAATCGTATAATTTCGTACCGTAAGGTTCAGGTTGATCCAAACAAGTTTTTATTGATGTCCAGGTCACTCCAATTATATCACTATGGCAACATAAAAAAATATATGCGAAGAGCACATGAAATAATAGAAAACCAAGCACATAACTAAAAAACAGTTTTTTATTATTTGGACAGACATATGAACGCCGGAATTGAATACATCCATCGGTGGTTTAAATTCGCAACGGACGTACAATAAGTCCACCCACGGTGATTTATGCTCACAATAATCGTACAATAAGTAGTTAGGTACAATGAAAAGAGTAGACCTGAGAGCCACCGAGGATACGTCTTTGCAATAAACAAAAACACAAAGTCAGTAGTGTTGGTTTGTATACACAAACATTAAGCTCGGGAACATGGGACAGCCTACAACAGGATGACATAAAGTGCAGCCTGGAAACTTTGTTATTTTGTTTTCCGACGTCTTTGGGTTCCAACACATTGCGAGCAATACCATTTCCCTTTTGGTGGTTCTTTTAGCCCTACACAGCCATAGTGGAACCACTCAATCTTGCACTGCCAAACCAAGAGAAAAAAAAGGGCATGCATTTAGTTTCAGCTCAAGGACAACGGTCATAATACCGAAAAATATCAATCGGCAGAAAAGGTAAAAAAATAAAATATAAAAAGAGTTATCTACATACATCAGGATTGTCGCAAGCAATCATTTCTCCATAGCTGACTTGGTTGCACAAACAATACGTCGGCTCATTGGGATCAACTGGTAGATCCAATTCCATGCTAGTTGTGTTTATTGCTGTTGGTGCACCTGCATTTCCTGAGGCCGAGGCTGAGCCAGAAGCACTCGTAGCCATACGTGTCCTGTACCCGACATCATTTGTTTTCATGTAAAATTTATCAGGTAGTAACCTAGGAAAGTGCTTTTCTCAATACAAAGGATCAAATCCATGGTATCCTATAAACAGCATCTCTAGAGTGCTCATTGGCAATGGGCTTCTGCAGATAGTTATGCTAATTAACTGAGTAGTTAGGATACAGAGGTCAGTGAGAAAGTGTTTCATCTGAACCAAGCGTCATCATACAATTGCAAAATGTTACAGAAGATACAGAAAGCTAGAAGGGGAAAGGGCCAAGAGCAACGAGCCAGGTTTGGGTATTGAACTACCCGACAGACCCGAGCCTCGAATATAGGAGAGCTTACTTTTTACGCCCTCTGTTACTAGTTTCGCCAGACCTTCCAGCTTTCACGTTGTTATCTTGCATTTGAGGAGATCCACTGCCAGCCATGTTATCTCTTTCTGCTCATGTGACATCAAACTTACAACTTAAAAGAACAATTCCTTTTTTTATTTTTTTTTCTTTTTCTGTGTCTGTGTGTATGCAATGGCAAGATATATGAAATGACAAAGCTACTAAATAAATACCACGACGGAGATCTTCATCAAATTTCTTCAAATATTGATCAAGCTGGTTAATGTGAGTGTCCACCTATGAAGAAACAACAAATAAACCCATTTCATTCCCACAGTCGAAACAACTGACGAACAGTTATTTAAATGAGCCAGACCTGATCACAAAGCTGAACTCATATGTCACTAAATTTTCCACATGGTAGAAAGAATATATGTGAGAGAAAATATAACTACAAGAAATGCAACAAGTAAATCAAGAATCGGCCATCATTCTTGAGATCATAAATTCATTTCTCAGTATTTTGGTTTTATCACAAAGGACTAACATGTAACGACTAAAAGCAGGTATTTATTAGCATTGCATGAAATGCATAAAAAAAAAAAAATCACAAATAAACAGGACCAGGTCATAATCAAATTTGATATGCTAAAAGGGAAATAAACATGAAGCCCTCTAAATAGATTCCTAGTCAAGTGCAGACCACAGATTTTCTTCCATAAAAGACGAGTCCAATTGTCGAAAAACCTGTTGCACGCAACTACATAAAAGATGTGATCGCCAATAATGCAAAGGTACTGATATTTTGAGAATCTTGCAGTAGTTCATTCGTCAGCTTTTTCTGAGACAAGTACAGAGAGTACTGTTTTATTCAGAACATAGTGTTACAGTTAATTCATGTCCAAAAATAATTCATCATGACCTTCCCACAGTATTTCAACCCATAGTCACATGTCCAAAATTATTACAACACCCTCATAGCGCTTTTTTTTTCCATTTAAAATTAAAAATAAAATAACAAAAAGCTGTTTAACTAGAAGCTTCATTCGTGAACTGTTCTTAGAAGAGGTATAACTTAATATTGTTTCAGAATGTATTAGAACCCTCAACAGTCATTTTCTTGATCAGTTCACATGTCTGTCTCCATTCTTTTAACAAAAAAAATAATAACAAACATCCACCAACAAAGTCCAGGAAAAGGTAACCTCGGTGACAAAAGTGGCTACTGAAGTATACAACTATGAGAGTACTGAACCAAGATTTGCTTTGAATAATTCCTGTCTTGGAAATACAAAAAGTATAAGGCACAGGATTGCAGCTGTTCACGCTAGAAATTATAATAAGTTCCCTTCTTACCAAATCATAAGCTTGGACAGCCAATGCGACTTTTTCATCAGCAATCCTGATGGCATGTTTCTGCTCATCAAGAGCATCATCAGAGAATTTGAGGAGAAATGAATTTGGAGTGATGCTACCGGACTTTATACTGCGCTTCATATCACCTATTTCTTGCTCACAACGCTGCTCGTTTTGCCTCTGTATTTCTATTCAAGGGACCAAAAGGCAAAATAAATTCGGAACTGGGAAGCATGAAACGTAAACAAAAAGACACAGATGCAAACTCTGCAAATGCTACACAGCTTCTATAATCTCCATCAAGCAGGAGGAAGGAATCTTGACAAAAGAATGTGTAAGCGCTCTAATACTTTTAGGAGGTACTAGGCCATTTCAAGCGATAAGCCGATAACCCATACTGGACGCCACAGATGCTCGAAATAAAGTGAAAAAAAAAATTGAGGGTGAAAGAGGAGTGCTAAGATTCAAGCAATAGCATAAACAACATAAACCTAAAGAACATAAGGATGAGCACACAGTTTGACAGGTTTCCGATTGTATCAGGAATAGCAATATCTGCCAATTACCATAAAAAGGCTTCTACAATGATTTCTCTATCCTCCTTGGTCCACAAAAAACTAACTTACCTACACTTTGAATCTATAGAACCGCTTTTCCGGAATAACATAAATATTATATAGGAGGTCGTAAAAATTGAAAATGAATGATCTAGTGGAACAGACTGGGCGTACAGACCTCAGTGCAAAACTTATGGAAAAATAATCCAGTTACAAAAACATTCGGCACAAGACAAACAATGTAATGGTTGAATATTCGTAAGATGATGAAATGAGTAAAATGTCACTTTACAGCGAGTCACAAAATGAGATTCAACTCTCACAATCAACTAAACAATATACGTGTCAAGGAGGGGGAGAAATAACAAAGAAACACGAGTGTATTGTGCTCTCATACTGAATCCCACATACCTTGTAAGCTGTTATCCAAGTCTCGCAGTAAGGCATATTTTCTTTGCAGTATATTCGGCAAGGCTTCAATATCTATTAAAAAACAGAAACAAGAAAATGACATCATCCAATGGGAAAATGAAAAACTTCACAGAGATATGTTATATTTGTTTGTTTAAGGAGCCATAAAATTTTCGTACTTCAGGACATTGTTCACGAAACCGAAAGCACCTAAATTGAGAGGTTTGCTTGATCAATTATGCAAAAAACGTCACAAGAAACGGGGCTAATAATACAGATAAAATCTACACAGAGAGTTAATAAATCATCAATTCATTCTCCTCAAACATAAATTTGGCTTAACTGAAAAAAAAATAGACAGAAATAAAGTAGAACCATACCACTGAGACGAACTAGGGTTTCAATACAAATGGGCATAAACTAATCCGAATGAAAAATTTAAACATGCAGCAAGGAAAATTATACTTACTAGCTTGAAATTCGTCGCTTACGGACATGCCTTCGACAACAAATTTGAGAAATTTCTGATGAGCTGCAAATATTATGCTTAACCTTCCCGCCAGATGAGAACGACGAAATGTGAGCTCCTCGAAGGCAATATATTAGGGGCTCGAGACAAGATAACTAAATTATCCTATGTTTACTTTAAAGGAGAGGGATGAGATTTAGATGATGTGGCAAATATGTGGCTGCGGGCCCCACCCTTAAATCAGCCATTTACCGATTAATAAAATCCCGCTCTCCACCCCGGATTTTATTATCCCGCCCATGTAATGCCCCCATTTGATGATGGAATTACATGATTGTACCATATAAATAAAATAAAATAAAATAAAATAAATGGGATTTTGCAGATGCGTCTCTTCTTGTTGAGTCTTTCATCTTCTCGTCGTTTTTACCATTCTCGGAGAATGACGAACTGAGGAACGATTTCGTCCGGTCATAAGGTACGGTTGAAGAATTGCTTTGTCATTTTCCTTCCCTAGTTTGTTGTCCTTGTCGAATAGGTTGGATTCGTCGACATGTAATTTGTTTTTCCTCAATTTTTTCACAGAAACCTTGACCCCATCACTGTTGCTCCTGCCGATTGATTCGGTCTTCCTTCATGGTTAAGGTAAACTTCAAAACATTGTTCAATTACCATAAAATGGAAAGAGGGGATGCTTTGGGCTGATTAGGGTTCGGTCTGGACAGAAATTTGGAAGGAGGGGCAAATGAATTCTACAATTTGAGAGTAAAGACAATTATTATGTAATGGAGGGTAAATTAGGCATATTACTTGTATCCTATGAATTTGTCCATGATAGTAAACATAGGACAAAGTTTAGATTATTTAATCCCTTAATGTAAATAGTGGACTAAATGCTGACATGTAAAGTTAACATGATTATTTGGTCTTATCCTATCTCACAAAGTAAATGAGCCCTTGTTACATATATATGATTTGCTTTAGATCCAAATGACATCATTGCCCCTTGAATGCTTAACGACAGTATGGCATGTATGGATCCAACATTTGGCACCAACTACGTTTAGCGGGTCTTTGTGTATAAATTTGCAATCATATTCAATCATAAAGTTTTGAATAATGTCGAGCAAAAAAGATCCTTCTCTCTAAAAAATACCCTCTCGTCGTCCATAAAATCGACGCTCATAACCTTGATTTTCAAGCCGCCTTCCCTGGCGGGGTCGTGGGGCAACTTGACGACGACGGTCGGCTCCTTGCCTTACGATTCAGCCCCAAATTGATGTTGAGGTCCGTCCTTCTGCGCGATGGTATTTCGTGGCCGACCCCGAGTGGATCTCGCGTCTTTGCTTTTTCGCCATCTTGGGTCGGAGGTCGCCAGATTCCATGTGTAACACCCCGCCTTAACATGAAAATCAGAGTACGCGTTTCGCAAATTTTCTAAATCAAAATAAATAAAATATTTCTTTTGCAAAATCTGATTCGAGGTGTTACCGTAAAATCTGTCTTACCTGAAAAAACCATTAATTTTTGAGTTTAATCATAAAACGGTTATATAATATCTTAACCGACTAACGTCGGGTCAAAAGCTGGTTTAGAGTACTGAAAACAGTAGCGGGGTCATAGTGTGGCCAAACATAATATATACATATAAACAAATGTCCTGAACCGGTCGCCCGCTCACTCCTCGGCTCCGACTCTGCGACCTGAAAAACATGAAAAACGTGGGGGCGTGAGCACTAATACACTGTGCTCCGCAGAAACTCATACTAAAGTAAACAGTGAAAATAATTACAATATCATGATTCTGGCATATATAACTGAACTGAAACTGGAACTGATATCTGATACCGGTACTGAATAATCTGATACTGATCTCGTGATATACATCACCTGATTAATAACTGAACATCTGCCAGCATAAGTTGGACACCATGTGCACACTCTAGTGGGCAGATTAAGGCCACTAGAACCCAGAATGGACCGGCGACCATTCCGAGCGGATACTGATAATACATACCTCAAACATGGTAGCGTAATTATAATCAATGTAGTACTTAGTCTGAGTCCCCACCTGAACTGCTGATCTGAAAATGTAAGTGCTGATTGCCTGCAAAACTGACATATATAAACAAATACTAAGTACTATGCTCAGACTGATTAAAATAGTTATTAAGATGCTCGACTCGATCTGAATAATTAACTGGAACCATCTTATGGTCTAACTCAACTGATAAGAAAACTGAACTGAACTGGTACTGCTAAACTGAACTGAACTGACTGCACATGACTGATCATGACTGAACATGACTGATCATGACTGAACTGACTGAACTGAAAATTCAACTGAAATACTAAATTGAACTGACTAACTGACTAGACTGAAAATACTAAACTGATAACTTAACTGATTACACGGAACTGACTGACTGAACCTGGAACTTAACTGAAAATGAGACTTGAACATGAACTGGGACTTAAAACATTAAAATATAGGTCGAACTGGTCCAACCGGTTTAAACCGGTCTGCACCGGTCTGAGCGGACCGCCGGTCTGCTGGGGCCGGGC